TGAATAGAAAGGCAACTTGGCCCTTCTACAGATAAGTAACTAAGGTTTTTTTTTTTTTCAGGTTTCTTTAAACTCTATACTAGGTGAATTTTATCACAATTCATACTTATAGAATGTCTTTTACAGAGACTCTTTTTAATGTTTTGTTTATTATTTTTATTTTATGTGTATAAGTATATTGGTTACATGGATGTAAATGCACCCAGGTCATGCAATGTCTGTGGAGGTCACAAGAGGGCATTGGATCTGCTGGAACTGGAGTTATGGATGGTTGTTAGCTGCCATGTGGGAGCTGGGAATCAAACCCGGGTCCTCTGTAAGAACAGCCAGTGCTCTTAACTGCTGAGCCATCTCTCCAGCCCCTAATTTATTGCTTTTAATTTTCTGTTCCTTTAAGAAAAATACTTTATCTTGAAGTCACATTTGATATGATATTCTAGATGTTTTATTGATTTACCTTCATATTCAGATTACATATCTCTACCTTATATTTGTTTTTGCAAAATAGCATAATTAATCATACGGATAATAATTAGCTTAATAGCCTTTGTTTTTAAAAGCCATTTTTTCTCAATGATTTTGAGCACTATATTTATCATGAATCTAAAGCCTGTACAAAAGTGTTCTGGGCTATCTATTTCATTGGTCTCTTTTTACACAAGTAATTCAAAATGCTAATTATTGGCAATTGATGATGTCTTCTGAACAAGGCATTTATACTTTTCTATTTTAAGAATGTGTCCAGTATTATATACTTCTAAACTTTCACATAATTTTGGAACCAGTCAAGCACACACACATACAATCAAAAGAACAGTGACAATATTCTTGATGAGTGTAGACATATAAACAGTCTCAATGAACCATTAGCAGATCAAATCCAACAGTACATGACAATAATCATGCATCATGAACTTGATTTATCCTTGGGATTCAACATGGACAAATAAGTGTGATATGCTATATTAGTAGAATGAAGAGCAAAAGCCACATCAGTAGATGCAGAAAAGGTATTTGACATAATTCAACATTATTTTATGGTAAAACCTCTCAACTGATCATGTGTAAAGAGAATATACCACAATACAATGAAGGCTTCGAGCCCAGAGTTATAATTCTCAGCAAAGAAAAACTAAAAGCTTTTCTTCTGAGATCAAAAACAAGCATGCCCACTCTCTCCGTCTCCATTAACCTAGTACTGAAAATCCTAGCCAAGGCAAGGAAGAAATCAAAAGAAGCAACAAACATCTAAGCAGAAAAAAAAGGTTACTGCCTTTGCTTGTGTCCGCCAGCACCCACCACCCTCTCCTGTCCGCCCCCCCCCCGCCCTGCCTTCCTCCCCCTTCATGGCTCTAATAGTCTCCATCATACTAAGATGCTTTCATTTTTTTCTAGCTTCCACATATGATAGAAAACAGGCAAATCCAGGTCTGGTAGTATGTGCCTGTAATCCCAGCACCTAGGAGGCTAAGCCAAGAAAACAGCCATGAGCTCAAAGCTAGCCTGGGCTACAACATGAGCGGAATGCCATCCAAAGCCACACAGCAAGAGCTTGTCTAAGAAACAGGAGAGAGGTTGGAGAGATGGCCCAGCGGTTAAGAGCACTGGTTGCTCTTGCAGAGGGCCCAGGTTCAATTCCCAGCACCCACATGGTGGCTAACAACATCCATAACGTCAGTTCCAGAGGAATCCAATGCCTTCTTCTGACACCTGCAGGCATTACACAACATGAGTGCACTTACATACATGCAGGCAATACACATAAAATAAAAATAATAAATAAAAAAATATTTTTTAAAAAACATGCAGTACTTGTCTTTCTGAGCCTACCTGATTTTGCTTAATATCGTGGCCTTCAGTTCTGTCTCTTTTCCTGAAAATGGCATCTTTTCATTCTTCTTTACGGCTTACAAATACTCCATTGTGTGAATATAACACATTGTCCTCATCCATTCACTTGTAAGCAAGCCACAGAGTGAGTCCATGATTAAGCTACTGTGAACTCATTTGACATAATTTTGCTTCAGAAATTAACCTTTCTTGCATCACAAATCTCCCTTTTTCTCCTACGGGATCACTAATTCATTCAGGCGGAAATGTGTATAGTAAGTGGTCCTCATGAAAAGCTCCACTCCTCAGTAGCTGCCTCGTTTATCTGTCCTCTTTACCAACTAAGTCATTTCTCTTTATTCATTATCTCCATGTTTCCACTTGCATCTGTTTTTAATTCTTTTTTAATTCTGGGAAAGTTCTTTATTATTGCTGGGGTTTTGTTTTTTTTTTGGTCTTTTGGAGACAGGGTTTCCCTGTGGCCCCAGCTGTCCTGGAACTCACTATGTAGACCAGGCTGGCCTCGAACTCACAGAGACCTGCCTGCCTCTGCCTCCTGAGTGCTGTTGTAAATCATGAAATATTTTATATACTAAAAATAACAAATAAGGACTAAAGAGATGGTTCAGCTATTAAGAGCACTCACTGCTCTTCTACAGAATGAGAGTTCGAGTCCCAGCACTCACAGCTGGAAGTTCACAACCATCTGGAATTCCAACTGCAGATACCGGCACACACGTGGTGGGGGGAGAGAGAGAGAGAGAGAGAGAGAGAAATATTTTTTTGATCTTTTTGAGACAGGGTCTCCCTATAGCCCCAGCTGTCCTGGATTCACCATGGAGACCAGGCTGGCCTCGAACTCACAGAGATCCGCCTGCCTCTGTCTCCCGAGTGCTGGGATCAAAGGCTGCGCCACCTCGCAAAATACATTTTTAAATAAAAATAATTTTATAACATATTGTTTTCTCTTTTCAAAGCCAGAAGCTTCGTCAGCGACCAGAGATGCTCTTCCACAGGGTACCTCACTTGCAGAATGAGGTGCAGCGATGGTGAGTATGCAGTGAGGTACTGCAATGGCTGGACTATCTGTTGTCGGCTAAAGAAGACAGAAATTAAGAAAAAAAAGTTATTTTGACAACTTGAACTCTATTTTCTTCAGATTCATGGAAAAAGAAACCAAGAATATTTAAAACTCCCTTGTCTACCTAAAAAAGAATTGATACAATGAGTGAAAGGGATTTCATGATAATTGTTTAGATGGTCATATTAAATTAAAATTGTGTCAGGGCTGGAGAGATGGCTCAGTGGTTAAGTGCACTGGTTGCTCTTGCAGAGGACCCGAGTTCTATTCCCAGCTCCCACGTGGCCGCTAACTGTCTATAATTCCAGTTCCAGGAGATCTGACGGGCCCTCTTCGGACCTCTGTGGGCATTGCACGACATGAGTGCAGATGAGTGGAAGGGATTTCATGATAATTGTTTAGATGGCTCAGTGGTTAAGTGCACTGGTTACTCTTGCAGAGGGCCCGAGTTCTATTCCCAGCTCCCACGTGGCCCCTAACTGTCTATAATTCCAGTTCCAGGGGATCTGACGGGCCCTCTTCGGACCTCTGTGGGCATTGCACGACATGAGTGCACCTACATACATGCAGGCAATACACTCACACGCATAAAATAAAAATAATAAATAAGAATAAATAAATTGTAGGGGCTGGAAAGCCGCCTCAGCAGTTAAGAACACTTGTTCTTGCAGAAGACCCGGGTTCAAATCCCAACACCCACATGGCAGCCAACAACTTTCCATAACTCTAGTCCCAGGGGATCCAAGAGCTTCTTCTGACCTCCGCGGGCATTGCATGACATGGGTGCACTTACGTACATGCAGGCAATACATACATAGACATAAAATTTTAAAAAATAAAAGAATAAATAAATTGTATCTGTTCTTACATATTATTTTCATGTGTGTAATTTTTAGCACAGTGTGATTTCATCTATATGCCCCATCACATATAAAATATCAGCCTTTGCAATTCTGGATTAAACACAATGAGCTGTTTTTTTAATACTTTATTATTTTTACTTTATGTGTAGGAGTGTATTGCCTGCATGTAGGTAAGTGCACCTGTGTCATGCAATGCCCGATGAGGACAGAAGAGGCCATCAGATCCCCTGGAACTGGAGTTACAGACAGTTGTTAGCTGCCTTGTGGGTTCTGGGATTCGAACCTGGGTCTTCTACAAGAACAACCAGTGTTCTTAACCGCTGAGCCATTTCTCCAGCCCCTCAATGGGTTATTTTTAAAAAGATGTGAACATAGAATGAGAAAGTATTGGGAACAAGGAGGGTTTCAGAGGGAATAAGGGGGGACAGAGGAGGAGATGGGGTTGAAGATGATCAACACACATTATATACATGTCTGACTCTGTCAGAGAATAAATTAAAAATTACTTATAATTAAAAAAGAAAAATGTTTGCCTTGGGCAAATTATTTACCACTTACATTTCCTTGTCTATCAAATGATATAACAACAGTACCTACCTTGTGATCATTGACAATTACATAAATAAGAATACATTTAAAGAGCACTTGGCCTTATGGTAAGGACTATACAAGTCTTAGTTACAATTTCATGAGAACAGATCATTTTTTCATCACTTTTGGAATTTATCGAATTGTTCTAAGGATTTAAGAAAACGGTTTTGACATGTTAACATTTTATGTGAAAAATAAGTTCTACTTTCTGCTTGGTAGGTATATACTGCTATATACACAGTCTTTGGGGCAGTGGGGTTGGGGAGGTCTCAATAGGACTCTCAGACTGACCTCAAACAGTATTCTCCTATCTCTGCTTCCCAAGTGCGAGGGTTACGGACATGTGCCACCACAATCTATTAACTGGACATTGTTCCACTTTAAACATCTAGGACTGAAAACAGAAAGATATACAAAATGAATTTCAGAAGAACGGTTGATGGGACTCATGATTAGAAGGCATAAAAATGATTTCAAAAGTGATGCAGAGTTTGATGGCAGAACAGAGCAATAAACAGAAGAATCATAGGAGCAGGGAGGAACCAAAAAACTGGTAATAGAATCTGAATCACATAAAGAATATAAAGAGCCCATCCCCTAGGCACACTTACAGAGTGTGATTTTATTTGTGCATAAATTAATTCCAATTACGAGCCTTGGTCCACCCAGTCACAGAGGCTGAAATTTAGCCAGTTGAGATTCACTCGGATTTTCTCCAAGTTATTTTTAAGTTCCCCAGGACAGAGGGAGCAACAACTTACCTGGGTACGCACTGGTTATATTGACATTACAAAAACATCCTCTCCTTCACCCGGTTTGTAGTGACTGCTCCAGTTACAAGTCAGTTACCGCTGAGTTGAGTCGCCTCCTACTCTTACTCTCCATTAAGTTCTTAAAATTTGGTGAAGTTCGCTCATTTGGTGCATTGGATGACAATCTACATACACAGCACTATGTCACCAGGCAGGAACAGCATGACTTGGTGGTTTGAGTGTGGCTTAACTGCTTCAATATGTCTTCTAAGGGCCCATGTGTTAAGAGTTTAGTTCTCAGGGTGGTGAATGTGTTGGGAAGGTCTGTGGACCTTTAAGAAGTCAGGCCTTGTGGGAGCACACCCTCAAAAGAGATTGCGGGAACTCTGGGGTGTGTGTGTGTGTGTGTGTGTGTGTGTGTGTGTGTGTGTGTCCTCCCTCCAGTTTGAGATGTGACCATTTGTTCCTACATGTGCTCCTACACTAGAGGCCAAACAAGATAGGACAC